AGTCCTGTACTCTGCTCCGAACTTTATGAACTACAAACCACACTTCTCTCATGACTTGACATAGAGGCTGAAATGTTCAGTGACTGAGCGACTGCTTCTCCTCTTCCATAATGATCATTTTTTCTGTGCTCCTGAAAATTTGTGATATTGTCAGAATGGAAGTGAAAACCTTGATAGACTGGAAATACAGAAAATTAATGTTCAAAGCTGTTGTTTATCAGCAATTACTTTTTGTCAACTTACAAAGAATTAAAAAATTTTAAAACATTTTAATTTAGATTTTCTCATCCAGTAAATTTTTTATTTCCCCCTCTCCAAGCTCTTCCCAGATCCCCACACTCTCCTATCCACTAAACTCCAGTTCTTATATTCTGTCCCTCACCCCCAGCCTTTCCCTTCTCTCTCTTTATCTCTCAGAAGTTCAGCAAACAAACAAATATCAAACATGGACACAATGGGGTCATACTACACAAGAAACTATTTAAAATTGCTACCTGTAGCAAAGGGGAAATCAGGTTTCTCCATGGGGGTGTCTCTGGGTATGGCAACCACACTCTAAGCCATGTTCCATGGCCAGGAGTACTTAACCAACAAAATTAATTCCATTTTTTAATTTGCTTCTTTGTTTGTTTGTTTTTTCATTTTTGACTCTTTAATTAATTTTGTTTTGTTATTTTTTTGTCTTAAACACTATTGAGTTAAATTCCTCATATTTCCCCTGTTTAGATTTTCTCAACATTTTGTTTCTACACGTGTCTCATGAGCTGTGAGACTCAGTGTGAACACTAGACTTTCATTTAAAAGGCTTTCAGTAAGTGAATAAGTAAATCTATCATAACTTCATATTAATGACACAAAGAAAGTAGACACTAGTTTTTATTTTTCTGTTTGTTCCATTCTTTCATTGGCTATAAGAACACGTATAGAACATCCAAATCCACACACATCACAGTTTTAAAATATAGTCTCACCTTGGAATCTTACTAATTTGAAATTGAAATATGCATAATGACGTAGAAGTATTATATATTGGATAACAGAAAAATACCTATGACTCCTATTTTTTGCCTTAGACAATGAGCAAGGATCTAATTAAGAAACTACTGCTTTAATTGGCCCCTCAGTCTGCCCCAATTGTCAACCACATTCAGAGGGTCCAGTTTGATCCCATGCTTGTTCATTCCCAGTCCAGCTGGAGTTGGTGAGCTCCCATTAGCTCAGGCATATTGTCTCAGAGGGTGAACTAACCCTTCATGGTCATGACTTCCTTGGTCATATTCTCCCTCCTTTTGATCTTCAACTGGACCTTGGGAGCTCAGTCCAGTGCTCCGATATGGGTCTCTGTCTTCATTCATTGCCGGACAAAGGTTCTATGGTGATATTCATATAGTCATCAGTCTGACTACGGAACAAGGCCAGTTCAGGCACCCTCTCTTCCATTGGGCCTAGAACTTCCCACAGGTCAGGGTGCCTGTACTCTCTTAGGACTGGAGGGAGTGGGGGCAAAGATATGGGGTGGGCAGCGAGAGAGAAATGGGAGAAAAGGAGTAAGCAGGAATTTAGATTCGTATTATCTATAAAGTAATTTTAAAAAAGAAACTACTGCTTTTAAGAATCTATCCCAAACTGATGTCCAAAAAAGTAAAATCCAAACTCTAATTGAGAAGCTTTAAATTTGATATAATTATGTTTTCTAAGAATATGAATGCATTATAGCATATTTTCTTCTAGAATGCTCTATCTTTTCACTACTTTTTCCTTTTAAAACTATTTAAAAAGAAGCCATGCTCACATCCATGAACGAAGATATCAGCTGAATTAAAATGTTTGCAGGTGGACACCATCATTCAAAGGGCACTATTTGATTGCACCTCTCAGCTAGCGAGATGACTGTTTGCATGTTTTAACCAGATCCCAGACTGGAACAAATGTGGTGAAAATCAACACGCACTCATCCCTGTGGAAACTGGCGAAGCAGCAGATGCTGCTGCTGGAAATAGCTGGGACTTCTGCATCTTTGGATGAAAAACATTTTGTGAAAAAAAAAAGAGATTTATTTCATGCATTGGCTCACAGATTAAAAAGGGTATATGTTATTGTTTCATGTGTTTTATTCTAACAGCATTATAAATTTAGAATGCTAAAACGCAGATAACTTCTTTAATGTTTCCTATAGAAACCTTTACTTACCCTAGACTAAGGTCATGTATTCAACCTAATTCAAGGTTCAGTATAATAACAGGGATGGGAGCTTTTGAGGTGAATATTACAAGGCTTGATATTATTACATGTCCTCAATTAAACTGTCAGGCTATCACTAATTCAGTAGTTGTCCGTTCCTTCTACTGATAGAGAGAAGGCCTGCATAAGTAACAGTGAGCAGAATGTGCTTCAAAATTACATAAGCACATGACCTAGTTTAAGAGGTAGAGTAGAGAGTGAAAGTAAGGGATTAGCAAGAATACTCCACCGCAGTGGTGACTACTTTATCAACATGCCCTCGACAAAAGATAAATAAGCAATCAAACAAAAAAGATATTCTACAGTAAGGGCGGTCATCAGATGTTGTTTCAGTATTTACTCTCACTGTTGGAAATGATTGCATAGCACTCGTGACTGTAATTACTTTGAGATTTTAATAAACAATAGTGCTTACAGAAATCTTAGGACCAACCAACAAAGATGTTCAGGTTCAGAACACTGGCAAGCTGAGAATGTGCCTTGACACAGTTGTACTAATCCCAAAATGTGGCCAAAAAAATGGAGTTGGGTTCTTTTAAATTAAAATGGAATTTTAGGGGAAATGCCACCTCTGAAATGTAAAACACATTAATGATCGTTTTGCTCCATTGAAACCATACAGAGAGATTTTGTAACTTCATACAAAGTGGTTTCCTTTCAGGAGAGAATTAAAGGGCATGCTAATATTATTTGCTGTATTATTTGTAATTAGAATATTTATTTTTTTTCTGGGTCGCTTATCTTTAAATTCCTCAAATAAATCAGGGGAGTTCTTTTTATCTTTTATGATGAAAGAGCAATCCAGCATTTTCATAAAAAGTATTGAACAGTGGATCATAAATATGTTTAGATTTCAAAATGATGTGCTAGTGTGTGTAAAAATCCAGAAGTAACTATTTAACTGATTACTTTCATATATGAATATATAAGGGGCTGTTTTGTCACTATAGGCATGCATGTATCATTTCAGTGTTAGTGTGATGACTGGGTAAAGACACTTAACTGAATCATTAAAAGTAGAGAAGAAGAAGAAGAAGAGAGAGGAGAGAGAGAGAGAGAGAGAGAGAGAGAGAGAGAGAGAGAGAATGAATGGATGAGAGAATGAACGGATGAGGAGAGATAGTAAAGCTATGCTGACATTCTTTTCTCTACAGCTTATTAAATCTGGTTCCCTGTAGCTCAAAATGCCTCTGAGCCCAGGGTTACTTATCTTTCTATTTGACAGAGCACATCTGCTTAACAGGACTGTGCAGAGGATAAGGAATCAGAACCAGGGCACCTAGCACAGTGCCTAGCATGACATGGACATTTATTTTCTGCAATAAAAGGTTTCAGTCCTTTATGAAAGATGGATCGTGATGATGTAATGATGGCTACTGAGCACCTTGTGAAATATGACTGATAGTGTTGATTTGGCAAGAGTTTGGAGGGATCCAATGAAGGGTTTAACTTTTGTTCAGTGTGACATTTGAAATGACAGACTTTAATCCTAATTCTCTGTAAGTACTGTGTGTGATTGCTTTTCAGGTAGCAGAAGGGCACAGAATTCCTTTATTCGTTCTCTGCCATGTTTTAAAACAACAGACATCACCTGTGTGATGTGAATAATTGAAAGAAGGAAGATGGGCATTGTTCATTAGATGCCGCTTAATCTTGAAGTCAGAATTACTAGTTTTATGCTATTACACTCTAATAGCCAATTGGAGAAATTTGATAATAAAAGTGCGGGGAAGCAATCGTTTTACTTTTCACAGAAGATCATACAGTGATTTGTATAAATCTGAGATCTGATGTGTGATTTTAATTTTTCACTTTATTTTTCCAAAGGCAAATATTCAGAGGTTGATTGAGTAGATAATAACTTAATGTAAATAAATTATATTGAAGAAAACAAAATTGGTTATGTCAAAGTACCTTGAGATACATTATTCAAGCAACATTATATATGTTGCATGATTTTAAATCTTATATCCAGAATGACTTCCTGAATTTTTTAGAATAGAAATTGAAAGAGATATATTATGAGATCCAAAGAAGTTATTTTACCATCAACATTTCTACAATATTAACCAAATTTATCCAGAGTTTGTAGATCCAAAGAGGTAGAACTACCACAATGACTAGCCATTAACCAGTATAAAAATTTCTGAATTTGTTAATTTAATCAGTATTTTTGTGAGAGATTTTTGGTGTTCCTATCTCCTTTGGCTTGCTGTCACTAACTGACAAGGAAAATAAAACCCTTATTTATTAAGAGCCAACTACACATGTTAACTATATGATTTGTTGTTTCTATGTGACTTTTATTTCTTGCTTTCAGCTTGAAATTCTCGGTGTGTTCAACTTTACATTACAGGAAATGATTTTGAGTTTCAAACTTCTTTCCCTTTAACATTCTGGTACAGCTTGCATTCAAAGCAAGATATATTTGACATATCACATTGCTTCTTAAATAATGGATATGGTTATACCATTTCCCATTCAGTTTTGTCCTATACATAAATATTCAAACATTATTCTATGGTTTTTAACTTGGTTTGAGGATAATGAACCATGAATCATGGAATCTGAGCATTTCCAGCACCTTGTGTGTTCCTGTGGGAGGAGAATATATGCAGTATAGCTTTAACATAGAGTAAAATTTCTAAAGTCTTATATTGTGTGGTCTACTTATATGAATCTCTGAACAGACTGAATTCTTGCCTTTTCTTCTCCCTCTACTTTGCATAATTCATCAAAAGATTTCTTTCTGCTTGCAGGGATGACTTGTCAAGCTCGGACATCATACACTGAGGATGAAGTTCTTTGGGGTCATCGGTTTTTTCCTGTAATTTCTTTAGAAGAAGGGTTCTTTAAAGTTGATTACTCCCAGTTTCATGCAACATTTGAAGTCCCCACCCCTCCGTACAGTGTGAAAGAGCAAGAGGAAATGCTTCTTATGTCCTCCCCTTTAATAGCACCAGCCATAACCAATAGCAAAGAAAGACATAATTCTGTGGAGTGCTTAGACGGACTAGATGACATTAGCACAAAACTTCCATCAAAGCTGCAGAAAATTACTGGAAGAGAAGACTTTCCCAAAAAACTCCTGAGGATGAGTTCTACAACTTCAGAAAAAGCCTATAGTTTGGGTGATTTGCCCATGAAACTCCAACGAATAAGTTCAGTTCCTGGCAACTCTGAAGAAAAACTGGTATCTAAAACCACCAAGATGTTATCTGATCCCATGAGTCAGTCTGTGGCGGATTTGCCACCAAAGCTTCAAAAGATGGCTGGAGGACCTGCCAGAATGGAAGGAAATCTTCCAGCCAAACTAAGAAAAATGAACTCTGACCGTTTCACATAGCAAACACCTCTTTAGGAATTATTTAATGTTTTGATTTAGTATTAGTCCAATATTTGGCTTACAAAATAATCCTCCCTAGGAAATCTGAGAGGTCTATCCCAGTCTAGCAAGTATATTTGAGAACTCTTCATTCCAGTGTTGTTACTGTGCAGAACATGAATTATGAAGGGAGGTCATCATAAGGAAGTTATTAGTGGGCATGTATTATCACATCAAGCATGCAATAATGTGCAAATTTTGCATTTAGTTTTATGGCATGATTTATATATGGCATATTTATATTGAATATTCTGAAAATATATATAAATATATATTTGAAGTGGAGATATTCTCCCCATAATTTCTAATATATGTATTAAGCCAAACATGAGTGGTTAGCTTTCAGGGCACTAAAATTATATACATGTATACATACACACATATGAACACACACACACAAACAGATAACATACCCATACAAACATATATATCTAATAAAAATTGTGATGTTTTGTTCAGATTTGTATTTCTTGTGCATGTTTACTTTATTAGAATAGGAAGGCTGCTGGCATTGATTATGAATACCAAATATTTTAGCCTTAAATTATTTGTTCTTTAAAAATCTGATTTAATGTTTTCTGCTGTTAAGGTCATGGAATCTTTCAACTGTACTTTATCATGAAAGATTTTCAGAAGTTTGTGGTGTTCATGTCACCACAAACAGAGACATCAAGATTATGTATTTAATTTGTAAATTTTAGAGTGTGCCGGTACCTGGTACATACCATTGAACTTTTCTTATGATTTTTAGAAGTCACTAGAACTTGGGTCAGGTGAATAAGTTTATTAATTAGTCTTTTCCTAGACTAACTAATATCTCTAAGTTGGATTTGTACACAATCAAATAAAAATATGAGCTCTGAACAAATGCTGAATCATTGAAATAATCAGTAGCCAGGTTATATTTGAATGTGTTAGAGCTTGTGTGAAATTTACAGGGTATGATTCCTCTTTCAAAATGAGCTGATTGCAAATGTTTTCTTCTTTTTTTCTGGAACTTTTGTCATCCATAAAAAAAAAAAGCCTTGATCTTTCAGTAGATACGACAGCACAATGAAGCAGATGAAGCACTCAGGCTAAAAGGTGTGTGTCTAATAGAGACTTTTATGCTGTTCTCTTTTTTATGCCATTTGTCATGAAAGAACGGTTCTTTTCCTTATCTGAGGGAATATATCCCAGACCTGTCAGTCATAATTTAGCACAGACCTGAGAGAGATTAAAATCAGAAGAACTGAAAATGTTTGTACACTCAGGATTTTCCGGTTTTGTTTTGGTGTTGAACAATTTTTTTTTTTGATGCCTTGGATCCCTGGCCTCCAAAATAAGTTTAGTAGTACTCTATTTCAACCCCCAACATCTGGATGGAATCAAACTTGATCAGTAGTACACTTTCAACACAGGTTTTAGGGTGAGAAGTTGTTTTTTTTTTTTCTTAAAAGAAAATATGCTGAATGACTTCTTGGTATATTTGCATAGGTTTTCCTGTATAATTTCTTTGGAGTTTGCAAGCGAAATTGGCTCAGAGTTAACTCACTTCTCATTAATATGTAAATCGCAGATGGATGGTTTGAGCACACAGCATTTATGGTTTAGTGATCTTGCGATCATTTTATTAGAGGCAAATTATTACATCAACAGTAAATCATCCACGATATCTTCTGGCTACCTCTGTATCAACCAAATTCTGTAGGTGCAAACACATACCAGGGAATGATTACTGGAAAAATGATCAACTATAGCATCCATCCACTGTGAATAGGCAGTTGCCCTACCCCTTGATCACTAAATGTTCTTATTTGCCAGACGAAGATGATAAAATATTAGCAGGAAAAAAAAGGGGGGACCAGTGGGTATCGTATATTTAGCAGTGGAGGAAGCTGCATAGATCATTTAGTCCAACACCTTAAAACTATACAGAGCCATACTATTCTTTGGAGAGTCATTTTAATTTGTTTTTGGTATTGTAAAGAAGAACCAAAAACAAACTCTCTGGATTTATTCATTTAACAAAAATTGTTGCATGCCTTCTTTGTCCTAGGCATTGTATTTTTTCTTCTTTTTTATAGTTTAGTTCCTGGGGATTTAGATATGCACAGTGTATTAGAGGGAAAGTGTGGAGGAGACAGAAAAAAATGGCGGGAGAGACAGTACCCAGTATTCAACATTTCAATTATGAAAATGAAAATAGGGCAGAAACAGAAATGATTGTGGGTTGATGAGAGCTCAGAAGGTGACACATTGGGAGGTAACATTAGCATTGCGACTTAATGACAAGAAAGAGCCAGTGTGGCCACAATAAATCAATTCAAGGGAATAGTACACTTTTACCTTTTCCGCATACTTGTGGGAACAGTATGATTTCTGCATGTACTTGCAGTTTAATCCCAATTTCTAGGTTGATTACAGGATCCAGTCTGCCCAGGAAAATTGCAGTTTATACTTGTTGTACTTGTGGAATTATTAGTATCCCTCTCTTTGATTCCTATTATGTCCTGGTTTGGATGATATATGGTAAAGTTTTGTTGATGCTAGCAAAATTATCGAGTCTAATATATTTGGAAAAAAATAAAGAATTGCTTTACTTCTCCTTTTCTTGATTTTCTTTTCTTTCACAGACTATTCGAAAATTCATTTCCAATATCACCTCTTTTAGCCTCACGGAATTCTTAGGAAAGAAGTCAGGTCTGCACATGACATGTTTCTTAGGCTCAAAACTTAAGCATTTTCTTGAGAGCATAACATACAAAGTAAACCTAACTATTTACCTTTAAAGAAGTTCTAAGAGCTAGAGTTGAAGGAACTAAAAGTTAACTTATGTCATCAACTTACTGGTTATTGGGAAAGAAACATTGTATCAAACAATTGGACACCAATGAGTTCTTAGTATTTTACAACATAGCACTGATTGGAGTAAAAGATATCATTTTATTTATCAAAATGTTAACAAAGCAACTATTTTGATAATGTTTATCTTCAGTTTAAGTATTCACTGCAGCAGTATATGAATACATTTATAATATATGTAAAATGTGCTGGGGGATATTTCATCATCAATTATGTTTAAATATTATAATATTTTGCAACTATACATATATGACTTTACATTTTATCCAGAAGAGTTCTGTTACCCCAGTACTGAAAACTTCTTTTGTCTGGAAGGGATGGATTTTTCTAATGCATGATTTTTTTCTTGAGGTTTAATTATGGTACTGCTGTCTTATATTATTTGTATCATCAGTATTATTGATATTTTTATTATAAAGTTCAGTTAGACTGAACAGTACGTCTATTTTACAATTTATGCATGAATAACATTTTTCATATTAAATTAGTAAGCATCTTATTATATTTTCTAATATTCAATCCATAAATATTTTAGTGTACAGGACTATCTGTGTTACAAACATATAACTCATGTATTCAGTTCAGAGAGTTTAATTAAAAATGCATAAAAAACCAAAAACTTGGAGCATCATTGAGCATCATTTTCCAAGGATCACCATTTCTTTACATTCCTAGAGTCACTGAGCTATACCCTTTCACATAGCTTATGCCTCTTATTTCCTAAAGACAGTGATTTGATCCACTACATGAATTTGCTTAAAACTGATTTTTTTGGCCTCTTTATTGATGAGCTGTTTCAGAAACGTGAAGCCTCTACTTCAGAATGATGATTTCTTAATACCTGATGCCTTGGAGAACACTTTGCCTCATGCTAAGTGTTTTGAAAAATGGTGGTAAGTAAAGCATAAAATTACACTTTTGTTCAAATAAAAAATATTTTAAAGCAGTTTCATTTGGTTCACCTAACATGTTTCATAGATATAAATGTGTCACCAGGCTATGACCTTATGTGGCCTTTGATGTGTACTGTTCCCATCTCTTAGGGTCATTTCAAAACTGATTTTGTTAAAAAATTAAAAAGCTAAATTACAGGGCAAGAGAGATTTCTCAGTAGTTAGGAGAGTCTAAAGACCATGCAGAAGACCTACTATTGGTTTTCAAGACCTGTATCTGAGTCTTATGACTATCAATAACACAAATACCAGATCTTTATGAGATTTTTTTTCTGATGCTGTTATATGACACCAAGACCTAGGAAACTTAAGTATGAAATGAAGTATTTGATTTAGGCTTATGGTTTCAGAGGGTTAGTGTCCATGATGGCAGAGGACAGGCTGTTGACAGAAACAGTTGAGAGCAAGAGGTGATCTGTAAATAGGGAGGGAGAGAAACTGAGAATGTTACAGTGAGTCTTCTGAAACCCAGGAGTCCATCCTCAATGACACATTTTTTTCAATAAGGCAAGAGCTCCTAATCCTTCTCAAGGAGTTCTACCATCTGGAGACCAAAATTCAAACAATTTTTCTTATGGGGCCAATTCTCATTCAAACCACCACCTTCCACTCCCTGGTTCCCATAAGTTTGTGGGAATATCATAATTCAATATGTATTTTATCCAACATAGTCCTTCATAAGTTCAATAAGGTTTAAAAGTCTAAAGTTTAAAATATTAGCTCTTTTCTGAGACTCAAGGCAATCTTTCATTTTAACCCCTGGTAAAAACAAAAACAAAAAACAAAAAAAATACTGGATCTCAACATAAAATAACACAGAACACAGCATTCCAAAAAAAAAAGGGGGGGAGGGATGGGACATAATAAGAAAACACTGGATCTAAGCAAGCCCCAAACTAGCCAGGTTAACTCCTAATCCTGTAGTTCCATGTCTGATGTGAAAGGGCTTTGATGGTCTGCCTTTTTTGGTTTTCTACCTACAACATTCTTCTCTCTCAAGGATGGTTCTATTCCTTGTACCATAGCTTGTATAGCTCTTGTTGCAGATGTTCACGGCTTTGGCATCTCTAGTTCCTTTCATAGCTTTATGTAAAGGCTTCTCTTTTCAGTGACTCGCCTGATAGCCATGTGGAAGATTTCAGAAGTCCTTTATTCATGTATCATTTATGACGCTAAAGTCGTAACAACATAGGTGACTACCAACTTCAGATGAACTTTGGCAACCTTGAAGCATGTTCATATCAGCTTTGATTTCTTGCTACTTTTCAGGAGCAGGTAATTCCTCAGGCCTTTCCATTTTATGAGTTAGAAGTTTAGCTTGGTGTGTGTTTCCCTGAGAGCAGTCCTTCCTTTATTTTTTTTATTTCTTTATTTATTAAAAATTTCCACCTCCTCCACGCCTCCCTTTTCCCTCTCCACCTCCCCCTTCATCTCTAGTCCTAAGAGCAGTCAGGGTTCCCTGCCCGTGGGAAGTCCAAGGTCCTCCCCCCTCCATCCAGGTCTATAAAGGTGAGCATTCAAACAAACCAGGCTCCCACAAAATCAGTCCATGCAGTAGAATCAAAACCCAGTGCCATTGTCCTTGGCTTCTCAGTCAGCCTTCATTGCCAGCCAAGTTCAGAGTGTCCATTTTGATAACATGCTCTGACACTCCCAGTACAGCTGGCCTTAGTGAGCTCCCATTTAATCAGTTCCACCGTCTCAATGGGTGGACGAACCCCTCGTGATTCTGACTTCCTTGCTCATGTTCTGTCTCTGTCTGCTCCTCATAAGGACCTTGGAAGCTAAGTCCAGTGCTCCAATGTGGGTCTCTGTCTCTATCTCCATCCATCGCCAGATGAAGGTTCTGTGGTGATATGCAGGATATTCATCAGTGTGGCTATGGGACAAGGTCATTTCAGTCACCCTCTCCTCTGCTGCCCAAGGAACAATCTGGGGATCTTTCCTTGGACCTGGGAACCCCTCTAGAGTCAAGTCTCTTGCAAACCCTAAAATGGCTCCCTTAATTAAGATATTTACTTCCCTGCTCCCATATCCACCCCTCCATCCCAACCAGCCCATTTCCCCAAGCTCTCCTGAATCCTCCCCTTCTCCCTTCTCTCTACAGTCCTTCCTTTATTCCATTGAAGATTAGGATTTACTTTGATCATTTCATCTTGGCATAGCCTTGACTCTAACATTAAATTTTCTTGTGCTAATTTTCTCCTCAAAATGTACATTTTGTGAATTTTTTTGTCCCACATGTTTTTTTCATTGTAGACATGTCAAAAAATGATTACTAATAACTGCATTGAAGAATAAATAATTAGAGTGTCTTTTAATCTTTTTCACCATATTAATGAGTTTTGTACTTTTCAATTTAGCTTCTGGAAGATTCTTAGGACACTAGCAAAAATAGCAATATTATGTGCCAGAGCATTACAAGAAAGTTTCTAGTCTATGTGCTAATATTGTTTCCATCTGAAACTCTTTTGAGTGGGGCATCCACAGTCCATACTGCTCTCAGCCTTATTATCTTCCAAACTACTACAAAAATGACCCATTAAACCCTGCTTACAGTGATCAATTGCTTTCCCACTACAACATTCTAAAATCCTCCATACTCTTCTAACAAACTGTATGATTAGAGTCAGACCCATCACAGCAACACAGTCTTGTCTGTAACCAACTTAGTTACTTTTTCATTGTTGTTGTAATAAACTGTGATCAAGACAATTCATAAATGGACATGTCTGAGTTGTGTTTATGGTATCAAAGGGTTAGCATTCATTAATGTGGAAAGTAGATATTTTGACCCAAATAGCTTCATTTACATTTTTTTTCATTTATTTTGTAGTTTATTTTTTGTTTTGTTTTTACATCCCAACCAACATTTCCTCTCCCCACTTCATGATTCATATCCCCCACCATCCCTCTACATCTCCCCCATCAATTCTTTCTCTACTGTTTCTCTTTAGAAACAGGTAGGCCTCCCATGGATATCAACCAGCCAAAGTATATCCAGTAGCAGTGAGACTAGGTTCATCTTCAATTAAGGTTGGATGAAGAAATACAGTAAGAGGAATGGGCCCCAAATACAGACATAAAGGTCAGAGATATGCCCTGTTCTCACTGTTAGGATTCTCATTGAATACCACATTACAGAACTGGAACACATATGCAGAGAACCTAGGTCAGTTCCATGCAGGCTCCCTGATTTTTGGTTCAGTCTCTGTAAGACCCTATAAGCGCAGGTTAGTTTGTTCTGTGGGATTTCTTGCGGTGTCCTTGACTTCTCTAGCTCATAAAATTATTCCTTCCTCCTCAACTGGATTCCCTGAGCTGCACCTAATGTTCGACTGTGGATCTCTATATCTGTTCCCATCAGTTGCTTGGTGAAGTCTTTCTGATGACAGCTGGGCTAGGCACCAATCTGTACTCTATGAGAATAGCAGAATATCATTAGGTATCTTTTTATTGACTTTTTAAATTTTTATGTTTTAATTTCATTTTACATTCTAATCACAGGTTTTCCTCCTCCTCTCGCCTCCCTGTCAGCCCAGCTTCCATCTACTCCTTCCAATGGTCAGAATTCTCATGGGGAGTCAACAAATCTGGCATTTTAAGATGGGGTAGGGCCAAGCCTCTCCCTCCTGCATTAAGACTGAGCATGTCATCCCACCATAAGAAATGGGTTCAACAAGCTAGCACATGAACCAGGGATTGATCCTGGTCCTACTGACAAGGGCCCCTCAGATAGATCAAGGTTCACCACTGTCTCCCACATAAAGAGGGCCTAGTTCATTCCCAT